AACGTACAATATGTGGACCTGGCAACTGCGCTAAGGTACTTACAACAAATAACTCCCGCACATCCACGGTCCTGAAGCCGTAGTCTTCCGAACAGAGGATAAGGTCGAGATTTTCGCTGTCGCCATGGAAAAACTTCTCTACCAACTATGATCTTGATAATGACCGCGACGAGAAACATTGTAAGGTCCGCCAGGAGATATTTTAGTGCCAACGGCGTTAGCGGAGGCACTCTATCCTCTTCAGATTACTCTTCTTCAGAAGATTAGTCTGAGGCTTCGCATAGCACATTAGAGGAACCCTCAGAGGTTCCATACTGCACTCCAGCGGAGCTCCCAGGTCTTATTAAAGACCTCAAGGTGCGTAAAGCACCTGAGGAGGATCAAATCACTAACAAGGCGCTGAAGATGCTCTCGCCGAAAGCTCTGACATATTTGGTGACAATAATCAACGCGATGCTCAGAACCCAGCACTTCCCTACGGGGTGGAAGACTGCTGAGATCATCATGATTCCAAAGAAGGTGGGTTCGATATTTCCTCAGGATTACCGTCCCACTAGTCTGTTGTCAGCTCCTTCTAAGCTCGCCGAAAAGGTGATTTATCGCCACCTTGTGAATTTTTCATCAAATCGCCATGTGATTCCTGACGTTCAGTTCTGTTTTCGGTCCGAGCATAGCACCGAGCTACAGGCACTCAGGCTGGTGGAACATGTAACCAGAGGGTTCACCCTCAGCATGAGTACTGACATCTTTCTTTTGGATGTCTCAAAAGTCTTTGGCAAGGTGTGGCACGTGGGCCTCCTGTATAAACTAATCTGGCTTCTAAAATTACTGAAATCCTTTCTTGAAGGAAGGAAGTTTCGGATCAAAATTAGCTATGTTCAGTCCTAAGACCAATCCTTTATTAGCTTTTTATCCATGATGTCCCTTGCCCCAGCAACTGTGAAGTCTACCTCTATGCTGACGACACTGCGCTTGTCGCCCAGTCGTGTACTGCTGATCTGGTTCACGATGGGTTGCAGTGTGCGGTGTACGAAGTACTAGAGCGAGCGGAACGGTGGCTGATTAAAATTGATCATTCGAAAATGCAGGCTATTTATTGTACCAAAACACGTCGCGATCCCCCAGCAGAGGTTTCTGTAGGCGGCAATCGTGTACCATGGACATTCTGCCAAGTACCTCGGTGTCACCTTTGATAAAGGCTTGACCTGGCAGAAACATACGGCAGCCTTGAAAATAAAATTCCAAATTGCGTTTCGGCAACTATATCCTTTGTTATGTAGATCCTCCTAATTGAGTTTGATAAACAAAATTTGCGTTTATAAAATGATTATTAGACCAGTCATCACTTATGCATGTGCGGCTTGGTGTTATCTTGCCAAGACACACATGCAAAGTCTTCAAGTACTGCAAAGTAGAACTTTGCGGACAATTTGCAACGTATGTCTCAAATGAGACACTACACAGGGACCTTGACATTCCTTACTTGAGGGATTATGTCAAGCTTCAGGCGCAGCGACGTTATAGTCAAGCGGAATCGCGCAGCAGCCCTCTGCTGCGTGACTCAGTGGACTACATGGTGGAGCAAGTTCGTAAACATTCAAGGCCACGGCTCGCACTGTAATCAAAAGTTAGCGCGAATTTTTAGTAAACTCAAAATTACCCTCTAACAAAACCAAATCAAAAATTTGTATAGTTCACCTCAAAATTAATCCGTGTGCCAAGTCAAAAAGCCTAGGTGTTTCCTCAACTAAGCACATCTTCTCTTTCCCTTTCGCTTTTTTCTTGACTTTGTCTGGTTTCTGGGCAACCAGGACTAACAGATTCGATTAGCGTAAATTAGATGGTGACTAATGAGCAAAGGTCATACGGACCGCCCAGACAAGCAAATGACGAATAGTTAGTCCAACATTTGAGAGATTTTTACTTAGTCGCGGGTGGCTTAATGAATAAATGTCGAGTGCCTCTATAAATAGTCGATAAAATGAGATTAAAACTCGAATGAATGACGTGAATGTGGTACAAGAAGCTTTGGTTGGGGATTAAAATATTGCGAGGGAACTTCTGTATCAGGAAAACGTTTTTCAGTTTCCTCAACTAGATTTTCAGTACTTACGACGATTGACCCATACCAAAATGAGATATGTTAGGATACTATTGTACTTGTAAGGCAGAGACAAGAAGTTTGGGTTGCAGTGCACACATCGCTAGTATTCCGTGTGTTCATCGCCACAATACAGTAGAGCAATCGTGCAGACTGTTACGCCAGGCGCTGAGCTCAGATAGCAGAAGGAGTCGCGTATCGGAACATTTGAGAGATTTTTACTTAGTCGCGGGTGGCTTAATGAATAAATGTGGAGTACCTCTATAAATAGTCGATAAAATGAGAGATTAAAACTCGAATAAATGACGTGACTGTGGTACAAGAAGCGTTGGTTGGGGATTAAAATATTGCGAGGGAACTTCTGTATCAGGAAAACCTTTTTCAGTTTCCTCAACTAGATTTTCAACACTTACGACGATTGACCCATACCAAAATGAATTATTGTATATTCAGGACCAGTTAGAACATGAGACCACTGATATCTTTCAACTCGATATAATCGGAGACATCCCAGGCCAATTGAGGATGAGCATTTACTCTTGATTCGGGAACACTATCCGCTATCAATTATGGATATGTTTTCGAGTACAACATCGAAGCGATATGATGGAAAATGAAGATGAAGATATATGTTAGGATACTATTGTACTTGTAAGGCAGAGACAAGAAGTTTGGGTTGCAGTGCACACATCGCTAGCATTCCGTGTGTTCATCGCCACAATACAGTAGAGCAATCGTGCAGACCGTTACGCCAGGCGCTGAGCTCAGATAGCAGAAGGAGTCGCGTATCGGGAACATTTCTCTATCATTCAAGTTTTAAAGACAAATGTGCGAGGAAGCCTATGATGTGTACATATGGCTAATAGGTGCGTAGAGTTCCTTCAGGCTCCCTTGCAGTAAGTCCCCCAAGGTATTGAGTATGCGCCATAGGATTGGCTATCCAGACCTACAGATGGTATTGAAGCCCTGATGAAAAGGTAAATGACCTGAAGGGTAATGAAATTTGCGAGATAAGAGAGCAAGCTATTGAAGCTGCCCAGGAGTTGCAATGTCTAAAAAGGGATAAACTGCTCAGCCACTGGAGTCGAGGTAGGGAGTTGTACATCTTTAAACGTGGAGAGAGTGACCCATGGATCATCACCCCTTACGGAGTTGCGGGATCACCTCGAGCAAAACTTGGAAGTTGCTCCACGGGAAGCGATGAGTTGGGGAGCCACTGATCTGCTAGAATCAGATACTAGGAAAGGGCAACACCGGAAGTCGGGAGGTGTAAGGTCCGATTTCGACAAAACTTCAGGAGGAAGTTCGTGGAGCCTTAATGAACCACAATTGATACAAAATTAATGAATTAAACAACAAAAACTGCGTGAGTTGAGCTATGGAAAGATAATGTTAATTTTGAAGTTCTATGAGTATGTTTATGCCCCAGATAAATGCGGGGGTTCCGGGAACTGAATTACTGAATTGTAGGAGCTGGGGGAAAAACTTGAGAGTTGAAAGTACGCCCTTAAGAAACTCCAGGACTCACGCAGTAAGACGGAAGAACTCTAATCTGCACTACGCTAGAAGCAACTACTACTAGATTACAACCGGCGTATGTACCAATGCAGGTTCCCTCGGATACTGGATAGCCGCTCGACAGCAATGCAATCGTGTAGGAGGTAAAATAGAGGAATCGAACGCTTTTAAAAGCAAAAATGTAAGATATCCACCAGACAACAGATTTGTGTGTAAAAGGGGCATGGCTCTAGAAATGCGCAAATTCAGTATCGGTACCAATTCCATGGATTGGCCACCTCCGTGGATTTCATCCGAATCCATGGAGGAAACATTTTCAAATATGGGCAGAATATTCTATCATTTCAAATCATTCACTAGAACGTAATTACGTGACACTATTTTGAGTGCTATTCAAGAAGGTTGCTAATTGTGATAAATCGAAATTTTGGCCTTACTGCCTTTCCACCACCGACCTTTTGTGAAAAACGTTAGAAATAATAAGCTGCTAACATAGCTTTCATTTCTCCACCCACAGACGGCAAACGATGGATAACTGTTCCGTTCTCTTTGACTCATCAGCATGATCTAGACGTAGTAGGACAACGAACGAAAGGTGAGCAGCTACACCCTATTCAGAGTGTAAGGTCTATTGAAATAAGCGGCGGAGAAAATGAAAAAAAAAAATAAAAAAGAAAAATCTCTCACACTTAGTTCTTTTTTGACGTTTTAAAGGATCCAGATCATTTTTTAAAAATGTTTAATGGTAAAAAATTGGGAGGTAGGAAAGGGTATAACGCAATTTATTTTTGTGTCGCCCGTACATTCTCCCTTAAAATTTAGACCAACAGAAAAATGTTTTCTACAATCTGCATCTGCTGACTTCAACGGCTGCAGGCGGTATGCCGATATTCGGATGTGGCCTGCATGACTGGTGCCCTGTGGGCGCTTTGCCGCATTTAGGTATTGCGATGTGACGTTCCCAGATGGACGGTACTACGGGTAGAGCAGGATAAGGATGTCATGGACTAATTGTATGGACCCGTTTGACGGACTTGGTCCCTTTAACTTCTCTATTATACATGTTCATAACCAACTTTTTTGTTAGAGGGTTTAACTCAAACGTGCTGCTTTCGTCCGTCCAACCAAAGTTAGCCAACCACAGACAGCGGTTTCGTGCTTTTTGGCAACTCATCAGCATGATATAGGCTTGGTCTCTGAGACAATCCAATATATAAGGTATACGGCGCTGACTGATTTCAATAGGGTGGAACTTGTGCAGAACATAATATGAACTTATGACGGCGTTGCGTGGGAAGTGTGGAGTCAACCTACCTGATGCATTTTTTATGTGATATGCTTGGTGTCTTAGTGGAAAAACTTACTAGGAAAAGAAAATACCTTTTACTTCGAGGCAATTTTATTTTATACGAAGTGACTAGAATAACAACGGTTGGATATATACATATACATGTGCATCAAAATCTAAATCATAACCTAATAGGAAATGAGATCGAGGGTATATAAGTATATAAAAAATATGAAATATAATACTACGATACGATCAAACATATAGGCAATTAACAAATGCAACAATGGATCACTATTGATAAATAAGTCAATAAATACTAGCGTTACACACTTTCCCATACATACGTTGATTAACTAGTGAGAATATTATATTGATTCGATACCTCAAACTCAGTCTCCAATTTTCTGTGGGTGCTCTGATATATTTTGACACATTAAATAAATTCTTTTCGCTGCAGTACTTTATAGTAAGTGTTTCTATTTTCATATACCTGAATAAACTCTAATTCTTGAAGAACTTTCTCAGAAATGAAAAACAGAAAGTGTTTGAGTATGTCATGTTCTACCGAAGTGAAACAGCCTTACGGCCAAGGATTCAGGACAATGAATAATCCTCGAGGTTCATGAAACATTGCGATAAGGATCAACATCTCTTCATCGCATCCTTACGTTTTTACAAAATGCCTAACTATCGTTACGGCCAGATTAAACTCTGGTACGAATGGTAGCATTTGTTTTTATTGGTGAAATTGATCTAGTTCGTACTGTCTCACAAACTAAACCGATTCGAAACGAGCTTTATGAATTCAGCTAGAAGAAAATCACTTCTGGTTGTACCCTTCCAATATCAGTGCTTTCGGCCTTTTCCAGAGTTTCCCAATAAGATTTTTGTGACAAGTGGCATGATTTGACTTTTTTTTTCTTATAAAATCTAGAATTTTCGTTTTCAATTGATAGAGTTCCAGGTGCTCATCACCTATTTTGAAATGACACTTTCATATCTCTATATCACTCATACATCCACTAGACATGTAATGCACCTTTACTCATTTCGTAAGGCATTGATACGTAACCGCCAAAAACGATGGAAAGACCCATAGTTGTGTTCTCCTCATAATATCAATGTGTGCTTTGGAAGAACAGCATGCTACTTTTAAAACCTGTTATGCAGTCACGCTAAGAATATGGTTTCTTGGTTTCCAATGTAGTCCTTTTCATGTAGGCAGTGATGAATTAGTGATCCATTAGAGAAGTTTGCCACTGTAAGGAGAGTATAAGCAGAAATCGATTTGAAAAAAAACAGAGCACCCTATTTAAACTCTGCATTACCGTATCATACCCTTTGTACTTAAATACATCTATCACATACAATGCGCGATAAACAAGTCTTATATTATCTTAAACAAGGCACTTTCAATACCACTTCAATGGCAATAACAATACTTCCTCAAATTGGCATCTGAAACACATTTACTATGATCGTTATAGCTATCTAGTCTACTAATACTACCGGACAGAGTAAAATTTTGGCCGTGAATATCACCGGTGAAACTTAAAGTAGTCTCAAAAACAGCTTTTGGCTTGGTTTGTATCTGCACTAGCAAGTGGCTGTCATTCTGGTAAGGAAGTTTCTGGGACAGACTGATTTTCAGCACCCTATCTAACGTAAATTTGGCACAGGGTCTGGTACCTTTAGCTTTCCTCAGTGTGTCGTGGATTTCATTCAGGAGGAAAGTGACCACAGCCCGTTCTAACGATTTTTCTAAGACTACCGGTGCGAATCCTAGGCATGTGCACCAGTGGCTAGTGATCCCTGCTTCTTCGCATGACCGATGGTATGGAATTTCTTCGAATAATGACCTGAAACGAAAATAATATCATAAAAAAGTTGTCTAGATATTGTTATGGAGCTGATCGAGTCACGACAAAATTTGTCGTGGTATTTAATACCACAACTTGATGATCGCAGGTCTGAAGTCTAGTTATGTCAGAGTTTTCATATAGCACAAAATTAGCAGAACTGTTTTTGTGTAGATACTTCCAAAACAGTTCAACTTTTGAAATACACATCCAAAAGTAACATAACAAGTCTCTGTAAGAACGTGCCACTAGTCGTACCCGTTACCACAAGGTCTTGTAAATTTCTATGTTGAGAGTAAATAAGAACAAAATATGAATATTGTTGAAACATCGCTACTCGTATGGCTAAACTTCACTAACGTCTTCTTTTCAATGTAGGAAAGATGGCATTTCTTATAGGGATTTCAGCCCAGATATCCAAATATTTTTTTCTGCAAAAGGCTTAGTTCAACAAAAACTCTGCAAGAGTAGCGACTTAAAAAATGAAAAAAATCATTGAGGTACAAATCCGTATTTCTTGCTTTTTCTGCAGATGTCAAATTCTAATCATTTCTGCGCCACTGGCGTAACTCGAACTATTAAAATTTCAGTATGTATTGGTAAGGCACATCCACAATTTCAAGTCACTACCTTGATTCGCTCTGAAGGTATGATGTTTTCTTCCATTTTGAATTGTTAAGACATTGTACCTTAATAGGGGAGCATTTTAGGACTCATGTTTATATGAACTTTCTGTGTTATTTTTGGATCTAATTCCTGTCCAAGGAATACATCCACTGTTTTGTGCGTCACCCTGTACTTAGTAAAAAAGAATTGTTCATGTGGAAAGGATATGGAACTCTCATACGACAATTTGAAGAGACAATAATCCAAAAAATCAGTGGGTTTGCAGTTATGTATACTAAGTGACATATAAATCCGAACACCCAGTTTAAATGGTTTTATTTTAATACACCAACTCCTCTCGAAGTGCTTCTAGAGTCTGAGGAGGACGTTGCAAATTGAGCAATCTTCTACCCATCATATCCCACACGTGCTCAATTGGGGATAAGTCGGGAGATCTTGGTGGCCATGGTAACAATGTGACATCATTATGTTGAAAGAAGTCTATTGTGACTCTTGCAACATGTGGTCGGGCATTAACTTGTTGGAAAGTGGGATCTGCCAGGGTGTCAAGATAGGGTAAAAGATGGGGTTCTAGAACTTCGTGGATATAACGCTGCGCGTTCATGTTACCTCTGATGAAGATTAAAGGTGACCTGAAACCATAAGCTATAGCACCCCAAACCATAACTCCAACAGTGTGATGAACATGTCTTTCAACAAAAAACTGTGGATTCCCCCTTTTACCACGTCGCCTTCTAACCCTGGCACGACCATCGTGCATGCCTAAACAAAATCGAGACTCGTCACTAAAGACAATACTGTTCCATTCCTGATCCCAGAGTGACCGTTGTCTGCACCACTCAAGGCGATTACGTCGGTGTTCTCGAGTTAAAGGGAGGACCCAGTGTGGCCGGTATCAAAACAAGCCAAAACTTCTCATTCGTCGGTAAACACTTCGCGTGCCAATAGGTCTTCCGTGTTCTGTAAACCATTCATTTGCAATGGACCTGGTAGTGGAGAAACGGTCCCTTAAGGCCAATAATTTTAGGCGGCGATCTTCACGGTCTGTTGTTCTACGGCGGCGTCCAGTGCCCCTTGCTCTTTGCGTACGGCCTTCTCGAAGCCATGCCTGACAACACCTAACCACACTGTCTACACTTCTTTGCACTCTAACTGCAATTGCCCGAAAAGAAAGTTCAGCTTCCCGAAGTCCCACTATACGGCCCCTATCAAACTCACTAAGTTGACGAAATCGTACAGGTCTCCGTACTCTAGGCATCGTAACCGATCGTAAAGGATGTCAAGAACCAAAATCCGCCAACAAAAACCGGAATGTCCAACTGATAAGGCTGAAAATTTTTTCACTTGTTATTTACAGTAAGATAAATACATTCACCAACTTTTATTAAAATAAAACCATTTAAACTGGGTGTTCGGATTTATATATGTCACTTAGTATATATTATGTAGTATTACTCAACATACATATAAAATAATATCACCTAACAGGACTCAATGTTAATGTTTCACTTCACCAATACCAATACTACTAATTTTAGTTGTTGTTCCAGCGCACTGCTGTACTTTCTAGAAAGAGAAAGCTACTGATGTTTATGGATTAAATCATGCGGCAAGCTGGAATTTACGTTAGTCAGTGCAGGTAGCTCAGGAAAATTGTTACTAGATTCATTTGTCATCACTCATAATAATTTGTGATCTATACTGGTGATCCTTATATTTTTTTGAGGTTCTAAGTGCTTTTATTGTAACTGTTTGATCTCACTCATTCTTCATATGTCCGTGTTGCTTTTTTTGTCAAATTTGCATAAATATTAATGACTAAGGTTATTGGCATTTCTAATATCTGTACACGGGCTTCTGGGATAAAGTAAATATCTATATTAAAGTTGATTTGAACTACCAGCATCATTCTTATATATCCACCTCCCTCGCGTATACAGGGTGTCCCAACAAAAAGGATAGAAGTTTTATGAGCAAACCTGAAGAGATATCAAAAATCTGAGTTCATGATAATCTCGATATGTTACTCGAGCATATTTCAAAATTATTGAAATATAAACAGGCTTCGCGCCATAGCAAACATATACATATTTTTAAAATAAAATACCCTATTCAATTGGATATTTGGACGGAGCTTCTGAAAACAAGAATGTTCGTACCGTGTAACATATGGTTTTGATTGTCAATTGTTTAGATATTTAGTAAAATGTCTGGAAAATTTGACGCTTCGCAGCTCTGGCATTTTTTAAGATATTTAGATAAATCCTAGTTCACAAAAGTTTTATTATTATCAATTTTAAGCTGATCTGAAAGAAATGCTGGAATATGTTTCCACTTATACAGGGTATCTCAAAACGCAAGACAATTTTCATTATGAAATTGTTGTAAAACATTCCAAGTAGGTCTGTTGATTCTCATATTATGTTTGATCTTACGTTCAGTATTTTTTCACAACTACGTTGTTTCAGCAACTTAGGTAACACGATTCCGTATTGTTTAACTCGAAGGACCACATATCACTGAACCTAGCGGATCTTAAGACAGCGATAACAGATGGCTATTTCACTCCTGCTTACAGTGGAGTACAAAAATTTAGCTATGCAATTTGTGGTCTCATAAAACTGAGTACTACACGACCTTCCGCCCTGCCATATTATTCAGCGACGAGGCAACATTTAAGAACAATGGTCTCGTTAATTATTGCCACAATATGCATTATTACGCACCAGAAAATTCGCATTTGGTACGAAAAGTGGACAATCAGAACATATGGTCACTAAATAAGTGGGCTGGCATCTTTAACGATCAAATTATTTTACCACACTATTTCTAAAAAGCACTATCAGGTGAAATGGACAATATGTTATTAGGGAACGATCTACCTCTTTTACTAGCGAATGTAAATTTAACAACTAAGAGAAATTTGTGGTACCAACATGACGGTGCCGCCCCCACCACATTAACATCGGGCGGTACGGGCCTACGGGCGCTACCCCGTTGGCGCCCTGACACTTGGACAGGGAGAGACGGACCGATCAACTGGCAGCGAGATATTACGATCTGACGTCCCCCGACTGGAGTCATAGAAGGAGAAGTTTACCAGGATAAACATTCAACATCCGAGGAAATGACACATCGCATAAGCGAGTAGTTTGAGTGGATACCTGGACAACCCCTTTTAGACGTGAAAGATAATTTCAGTTAGCCAATTTGCTTAACTATTTTGTATCGAATTGATGACGTAGCCTTCAAAAACCGTGAAAGGAATTATATATCTATCTCTATAGTAAGTAGATTAGTATTATTTCGTCAAATTGTTTACAAGAGCATTGTCAACAGAGAAACTGAGTGCTTGTGGCATCATTAATATCTCTGTTTGGGCACACCCGTATAAAAAATTCTATGTTGGAGCTTGTTATATTATTTTGTCTATGTACCTAAACAGTATATGTACATATATGACCTTCGGGTTGTTTACAAATATTAGGATTTCACTAACCTGCATGTTGGGCAGCTCACACTGGGTGTAATCGTATAGTTCTTGTCTTGCAACTTCAGTATATGCTTCAAGGTCAAATGAACGTCAAACGGAGAGGTTAACTTGTAGGAATTGTTTTTGAAGGTGGCATATTCATTGGAATACTTTCCTTGAAACCAACTGGGAAACGAGATGTATATGTATGGCAGTCTTTCTTCAAGCCATCCCGTGTGTGTCAGCCTTATGTCGCCAAATCTGAATATACGAAAGAATAGTGCTTGAAGTATATCATTTTAGGGTTATTGCTGAATTCTTATCATTTTGAAATGTTAACGCTGCGAGAAAGTCTTAGAAATCATAAAGGCGAACGTGAATGTCTTCGTTTGCGGTATTTGTGAGTTCCAAAACTCTGATGTCAGTATTCACGTAGAGTGAGAATGTGTAGGCGGTACAAAAAAAAACAAAATAGGTAAGCCAAAAGTATCTACTGAATGCAACGTATGCCAAATAGGGTTTTTGTTAGTGATGCAAACTCCGCTAATCATCTTGAAAGTAATCCGTAGATACTTTCTAAAAAGCTACTAACCTCATACCATGATCGCTCAAAAAGATAACGATACTATTCTCGGTGACGCCGCCATTAGTCAGTTCCTCCAGGAAATTCTTCACCTTGGCGTCCATACCAGTAGGAGTATTCAAACGGTTGTGACTGAAGGAGTTCATCCAAAAGAATCCAAAATTTGGGTATCCTTTGAAAGTGAATGCAAAGTCCTTGGCCAAGTTCATTATTCTTTGTCCAGCTGTTTCAGGGCCTGTGCAGTAGGTCATGCTGTCTTTCATCACTTTGGTCAACCTTTCGGTGGCTAGCACGTAAGGTCGGAAGTAGTAATCAGTAGGTGGTGTTTTGAACCCTTTCTTCCGGTAGTTGAAGGTGTTTAGTGTAACTTCATCTTCCCCATATGCCGTGATATAGCCTGAAATTATAACAGTTTGCCATTTTAGATGATTGCTTGCAGAGTTAGTCTATCTTTTTTTTTTGTTGTTTTGCCGAGTTTCGTACCCGCTTGTCGGTTGGAGTTTTGGATTGGACGCAGGTCTATCATTGGAACTAACAGCACTCAAATTATGAATCAACCTATTATACCAACCGACTTATGCTTTGATACGAGGAGGTGTTCTCTGAAGTAAGTAACAGATATATCTGTTGGCACCAGTTCAGGACACGTGTTTTTTATAATTGAGCTTTGAGCCACCACGAAGATCTGGAGTCTAAATACCTGTGGGCGTTGTAAGACTATGAGAGTGTTATGGTCTAACAAGGCTGAATTTGGACAGGTTTGGTATTCGTTAGTAATTTTGAATCACTACAGGTACAATACATTTCTATTATTTATTGACAACCGTTTCCTCAATATATCCGTCGCTCCGTAAAAAAATATTTTGTCTGATCTGCCTAAACAGTATGTAAACAGTGCTTTTGAAAAAGGCCCATCCGTATTTATAGTCAACGCCAAACAAAGTAGCGTGCACGTCATCAAGGTGGGTGTGTTGAAAAATTTACATTGTTGCCAAACTTTTTGTAAAATAATAAAATTTATTATTTACATATCTAGGTTTATAAGCAATATTAACCTCAAATGAAAACAAAAATAATAGTATAATAAAATTATAGATCTGTACTTGCATAATCATTAAGTATGACAATTATTGATCAGATGACACTATGAAACTACCATATTTAATTGATAGCTTAAAGGTACTGAATAAAAATCCAAATGGGGTCCTCCAAATTTTATGCATGGTATTTATTTTACAGAATTCATACAGAAAAATGCATTCTGAAATTAGGTAAGCTACTGGTGTAAGCTTTTTCTGTACAATAAAGTTAGTCGGAGTTTCTTTCTTCAGCGCTGTCTGAATCTGAATCTTCATCACTCTCAAAGTTGATTATTAAAGGTTCGATGTCTGGTCGATCAAAAATTCGTTCTCTCTCATACCATTTAAAAATTTCTTGCTCAGTATGCCGAACACTATTTTTCCACATGTCTGGGGTAACCGTTTGTAGAGCCACATATCCAAACAGTCTTTTTCACTGTTACCATCTCTACCAATATGTCTGTTATAGTAACCTTTTGCTATGCCCCAAATTAACTCAATAGGGTTAAATATACAATGGTAAGGAGGCAGACGAAGAACTTTGTGCCCATGTTGTTCCGCCAATTCATCAATCACGTATATTTTAGGTGGTTTGTTTCTAAAAAAGCAGTTATTTTAAGAATAGGAATAAACAAAAGAAATATAAACTGTCGACCAAAATATATATATAATTAAGAAGTATTATGTACCGAGCAACAATACTCAATAGCTCTGTTTTAAACATTGTGTTTAAAAATGGTATGTTTTGATTTGTCAACCAGTCTTGGATATTTTTTTTTGTCCATGCATTGTTGGGCACTTTGTTCAATATCATGCTGTGATAAGGGGCGTTATCCAGTATAATCATAGATGGACTCTCCAATTTTTCTAATAACTGATGTTGAAACCATTTCAAAAAATTGTCCTGGTTCATCTCTCCATGGTAATCGCTCAATTTTGTTTTCGAAGAAAATATCGCTTCACTACCCTCAATAAACCCATTTTCATTTCCAGCATGTAATATAATGTATCTAAAATATATTAGTTTTAAATTGTATAGTGCAAATTGTGTAAAAGTACATACCTTTTACCATCTGTTTTAATAGCTTTCACGCTTTTTTGGTTTCCATTTTGCCAAGAGCGACCTATGGTCCCATTTTGAAATATCCAAGTTTCATCGAGGAAGACAAACTGGTATAAGGCCTCAACCTTGGCTTGATTGTATTGCCTTAGAAATTCCACCCTTTTCAAAGCTATACTTGGTAGTTCCATGAGCCCTCGTCGCGGATTGTCCTTAAGCCACTTAAATCCAAGATCTCTAAGCAACCGCCTTAAAGACGTGGCACTACCATCAAATAATGCCCTATCTCTTAATCGAGACCATAAAGTTTGTATCGTAACTTGTTCTTCTGAAACCATGTGTAATATGACATTATAATTTAGTTAACAAATTAATGCAAATTTCTGATAAGTTATTATAATAAGATCTTACTTTTGTGATACATATTATAGATCACTTCTCGAATGGCACTTGTATCCAATGTCGCTGTGTTGGTTACACGTTTAATATAACTCGGCTTTTTCTTGGGCAATTCTAAATTTGCATCACTTTTCACACCCTCGGAAATACGACTAACTGTCCTTAAACTAATTTTTAAAGCAGCAGCAACACGCTACAAAAAATGAAATAAAATTTCACTATTATTAATATACATTACATATAATTATTAGTAACCTACCTCTTGAACAGCATTTAAAGGCAACAAAGGCCCGTTGTTGTCCCTTTCTTGCTCAAAGTAGTGCATTAACGAGGCCACGAGTTCCTTACACCGACTATTTAACTGTTTGGGCATCTTTATATACCAAAATTGCCTTTATCTACTCGTAAAATGAATAATTTTGTTTTGAAACAAACAGTTGTTGATTTACAGTATGCGGGGCCAAAGGATTTATAAAGATTTGAAATGCCACAAATTGATTCAGTGTCAAAATTAATACAAATGTCAGTTCCCAGTTTAAATAAGTTTCAAGGTGACAATGTGTCAACGCTGCGAAATCGGTTTAGTGCGTTTACATGTCGATAAGTGATTGGAGCGTTTGCAAAACATTTTATTTCGCATAATGCGTCTAAATTTATCAGAAAGCAACTTATGTGATATTTTAATAACAATGTTTATATGACTATTAACCATAATAAGAGAGTAATGACCATTTTACAATTTATATATCACATTAATATGAAACTGCAATAGAGCAATTGTTTGTGATAGAAACCTAGGCATTAGGTCGGGGAATTTTTATCGTGATGACGTGCACGCCACTTTGTTTGGCGTTGACTATATTTTATGAACAGCAGGGGTATTACGTAAGTTGAAAGTTGACATTATGTCGATATTTTTTGACACTATGTAGGTTTTCCTACGAGATGTCAAGTAGGAACTAGCTGTCTATCATTTCGTGCTCACTTGTAGCAGAATGAACTAATTGCTCACCACCAGCTATCTAGTCAACAAGTTGACATTTTGTCGGTTTTTTGAAATTATATAGGTTTTTACGTAATAACTCTGGCTAAGCACCATCTTGAAGCATTTATCGATGGTTTAATATAAATTTACTACCTATCTTTCTAAATGAGGAACTGGCGAGCTGCCAAACTGGAGCTTTTTTGTCATTGAACACATTAATCTTTTTATTTTGGAAAATCTGTGTGATTATCAATAAAATACAAGACGGTTGAAAAAGCTGGATTTTAACAATTTCTCTAAATGGGTTTTATATACCTGTTTTTTATTTACTTTATCAATTTGTTGATGCTTAATACACTCGCGTGCTTACAGAGGTCAAAGTGGGAGTACCAAAGTACAGTATACAATGTACCTGCTTGTATATCACAAAACAACAAAAATTGTTGGAAAGAATAACATTAACAAGATACATTTGATATGCATAACACTACATGGTGTTTCAAATTCGACCCTCACCACTGGTAACTCAGAAAAAAGAAATACGAAGTCGCTTATAAGGGGACTGGGTTGCGTATTTAAATAATCAACAAAATGCCGCTTAGAAAGTTTCGAAATTCAAAGTACTCTCGAAGACAGCCGAAAAAAAATTAATCTTCCCAAAATTGTTTTAATCTTTCCCTAACCCTATTTGTAGTGGGCTGTCAAAATTAATTGCACATTAACATCGCCACTCATTATCCTCTACAAGAAGGTATAACTATAATTTCAATATGACGTTTCGTCTCTGTCCTCCAGCATCAACTTCATTTTTTTTTATGAGCCTAATACTGGAATTTTGCAGAAATGAATACAGTTTTTCAATCTGATTCCAAAAATGTATAGTACGTTATACATTGACAAACCATAGTAATTTTAAAAAAGCAGAATTTCCTTGGTGGGCCTTGAAATTATCAGTCATTTGTTCCGCATACCTGCCAGATTTATCCCAAAAGTACTTTGAGGTTTCCCTAACTTTATCTCAAATAGGATTTCAGAATAAGTTCCATGTTGTCAATGTTACTTATTCTCCTCTACAATATGGCGTTGTCAAGCTTTCAATTCGACATTTCTTCTATCGACTTCCACCACCTTATTTGCTTACTTTGTTTTTTCATATGGAGACTATATTGGCATTTTGAACATTTAAATGGACCATTCAGTCAGCTGGCCTACTAAGGAACTTCTGTTATCTGGAATAACTAACGTTTGGCAATGTCAATGATTACATTTTTTTAAATCAGAGTCAAAAACGGCGTCCATAAGAAAAATAAAGTTCATGCTGGAGGACAAGTAGATGAGAAAAAGTGGCAATGGTAACATGTGATTTATTTTGGAATCCCATCTCAAATGAAGCCGAGAAAGAGTAAAAGTGATTTTGGGATAAAAACAAATGACTGCAGATGATTTCAACGCCTCCTTAGGAAACTATGCTTTTGCTGAAATAACTATAAGGTTTGCCGACATCAGTGTATGACATATTATACATTTATGGAATCAAAATTGAAAGCTCTATTCATCTGTACAATACGGCTTCTATAAGTTAAATTAAAGTTGGGGCTGGAGAACAAGAGATGAAACGTTATATTGAAGTTCTAATTATACCATCTTGTAGAGGAGAAAAAGTGACAATTTTAATGTGCAATTTATTTTAAAGTTCCACTACAAATACAGTCAGGAAAATATTAGAGCGACTTTGGGAAAATTCTGTTTTTTCGTCTCTCTTCGGAAGTAGTTTGGATTTCAAAGCTTTAGAAGCGACATTTTATTGATTACTTCAATACGCAACTTTGCCCTCATATAAGCGACTTCGTATTTCTTACAGTTACCGAGATCCCAATGGTGATGGTAGAATTTGAAGCACCCTGTATATAGCACTTTGATGAATAATTATATGAAGTGTCTGGTCAATCAAATCAAGTAGTCGTGATTTCATAATCAGGTATCATAAAATACGCATACGGAGCTTTAAAATGCAAAATGAGGTACCACATGTCCTCATATTCGATTTGAAAACTTGTTACAAGGTGGTGCCAGCAACCATATTAATACATTTAACTACCAAATATACGCTAAAATTCATGCATCAATCTTAACGTCCTGAGTTTGAGCTTGCTAACTCGAAGGGTTCAAAAAATGACTAGAGAGACCTTTTTGAAAAATCGTTTTATATTGGTGCCATATACTGGTGTACTTTTCTCTGGATTATACAAAATACCATACCTGCTTTTCTATAGTCGTACCATACCATCGGACAAGCATCTAACTTCCCAACAGTAAACGGATCACAGATATTGTAGGACATCGAATTATTGAACCCCGTCAGTATGCACATCAAATTGGGAAAAGTATTATCATCCATCTTGTTGTACCCCATCAACGGTACCCAGTCATTGTCTCTCAAGAACCTGTAGGTTTTTGGCATCGCTCTGATGAGGTTCAACCGTGAAATGCTATCTATACCGATGAACAAAATGCTTAACGGTTTTGTATTATTGTCAAAGTTATCTATTTTCTTCTGGACGTCTTCGCTTATTGTGATTGCAATGTGTGCGTTCTCGTATACTTGTTTGTGAGACGATTTCTCTGTGCATTTCACTACTATTGGGTCATGGTGGATGGTCACATTGTTCTCGAAGCGCTGGCAAGAAGAGACACTAGAACAAGACACACAATTTAATGGGGAAATCTTAGTTGAAGTATTTAAAAATACTAAACAAGTGAAACGATTAGATATCAATGTTTATTTGATTAGTATATTGCGGGGTTGTGTGACACCTCATTCTGGAGCACCTTTTGATTACTTTGTAAGTCTGTGTATTGAAATCACTTTCATTCAAAAGCTGTGCATTTTGTGCCCTTGTAAATCAACAATCAATTACAATTCTGCTATTGGAAATGCCTATCCATCATGTAATAAAATATGAAATACTTCATTCAAAAAAAAGTCAAGCGCTTTCTTCAGCTAATTGCCTCATATTTTATTACACAGTCAGATAGATAATAATAATAATAATAATAATAATAATAAATGTCTTTATTAATCAGCATACATCAGTGAGGCGAAGTTTAGCCAAATGGCTACTCTTACACTTAACCTCACTGTGTACGACAGAGTAACACAGTTAAACTCGATACACAAACAAACAATAGTAATAATAAGAAAAAGAAACAAATGCACACTTGAACTATTTATATAATAATAATAATAATAAAGTGTCATAAAAATAAAACAAACCAACAACTCAAACACTGAGAGACGATTGCATCTCCAATAGCTGTTTTCCAACTGATTTCTTAAAAGAGAGTAAACTTTCTTGTTTGTTAGCCGCACTGACTGAATTGTAAAGCTCAACAGCATTATACGTGAAATATCTCTGATATAATGAGGTGTAGTGAAGAGGAATATTGAACTGTTCATCATGACGTAACCTTCTTGAAATTAAATTCCTACGCGGAACTAACTTATTTGCAAGGTAAATAGGTCTCTTGGTAACGACTGTTTTATGTACAAAAACCAACATATGAAACTTGAAAAGATTGTTGAGCTTCAGCCACCCCAGCTCACAGATCTTGGATGTAACATGGCAAGATCCTTCTATAAAAGACGGCGTCATGCATGTCGGTTCTGTACTTCCCACGCAACGTTGCCATCAGTTCATAAAGGATAGATATTTGGTACGAGTTAGCCCTTCTGAGAGATAAGTTAGCTACGAACATGTATAACAAAAAATTGAATGACCTTCCTACTTCCCCTGAAAGAAATTCCTGCAGGTGCATAAGATCGATGACCAATCCCGCGTGAATGACGATACTGGCCTTCACCATGCACAGTCCGAAACCGATTGCCGGCTGTGATGTACGACGCGTGTCCATCGGGGGACCACATCTCACATATCGGTATACGACTGTTGGAGATATTTAGTTTTAAGGGTAAATGTATCTATGATGAGTGGAATATTTCTGAAAGGTGCGTGAAATCAGTGGGGTTAGAGGAGCATAGATATAATCATAAAATTTACAGATACCCTCCTTTACCTCCTGCAAACCCTATCTCTCATGTTTTAACCGCTACAAAGTTTTTCGGTAAAGTGATTCATCAGGATCCTCTGAAACGTCAAAAAACGAAGTTTAAGCGATTAGTTTTTTCCGTTTTTGGCGCTTTCCCCCGCGGATACTGAACAGATCTTAAAACACTCCATAGCCTCTTTATTTTTGGCATAGTAGTAACATTGTGTGAAAATTTCATTAAAATCCGAGCGGTACTTCTCAAGTTATAGGCGGTTATAGGATTATCGGACAGACAGACGGAAACAAGGAACATGGTTTTTTGTGATCTCTATTACAATATGTCCCCGCCAGTTGGCGTTGAGAGTAAAAGAAGATTAATGATTCATTTTTGGGTCATTATATTTTAGCCGCTTCAAATTTTTACGTTGAAATGTACTCATGCGTCAGTTTCATCGTCCCGAATCTCGGCTTGCTAACTCAAGTTGCTCAAAAAATAAGCTTTCTGAAAAACCGTATATTTTTTATTACATACGCTTTGAAATTTACAGACACCTAAGGAGCTCGCAAAACAATAATATTTGTGTTGGAATCACGTTTTTTCAAATGCTACATCTGCAACCACATTACTATAGGAGCTAAGCCTCTTTGTATTTATTCTGGACTAAATATCCGGATTTTCAATATTTTTGTGCAAAAACCACTGACAGAATGTTAGTCTGCGAGGATAGTCCTCTGGTAACAAGGCCTGCACTCGTTATACATGGTAGGGATAAAGCAAATTTTCCCGTAGGATTCTATGGACTATGGTATGCGATAGTCCTAGGCGGCGGCCTAATTCCCGAGGGCTGATATCTGCATTGATTTCCACGATATTCAAAATTTGTTCCTCCTGCTCTACAGTAACCTGTTTTTCACGAGTGCGAATATTATTGGGCTGAACACTTCCTGTATCTCGAAGTCTTTGGTACACTTGCACAAATGTCCTTCTGTCTGGGTGTACCCGTTGGCGAAATCTGTCACGATCAATTTGAACTGCAAGATTTGAATTCTGTCGAGCTTCACCGTAAACTAACAACATGTCGGCGAACTCTTGATTCGAGAACATTGTAAATCGACACGACGACGTACGCGAACAAAAACATACTAACCACTGTTACCGTTTGCGATCGATTGCCGGTTCGACAAGAGTGATGATAACCGACGCGCTGTTGTCATGTGTATTTTAAATATTTAATTTAATGAAACTTACTTACTTACTGACTACAAGTTTTGGCTTAACTTAGAAAAACTTAATGCCATTTATTTGATAATTACCCAATTTAAAGACGTTTTAGATTAGATTTCAAAAATTACTAAGATTGTGGTGATTCTGGTCGATATAAAGCACTTAAAGTTGTAAACTATAAAGCCATTTAGACAAAAATCTATCGACTTTTAGACCATGGGTCATATAAACTTTTTGACTTGTTTTGACCCCCTCCCCCCTATTACCCATTTCAATAATGACTACCATAACGTTTGCACCCTGTATAGTCATCTGTATTTGGCGGCATCAGATACTTGCAATGGAGAAATTGCCCGACTGTAGCTTCTGATTTAGATATTCTGTGATACTAGTATACTGAGAGGCAGCGGTATGGGTCCAGACTATAATTTTTAAATATATGATTATATTGTGGATCAGCCAGGCATGTGGAAGACGGTTTTGAGTCATAGCATAGGTCCTTAAAATGATTTATCTGGAAAGGCTACAAGGTTCAGCGTTCGTCTAGTTCGGCGATCACGGGGCAGATTTTGGAGGAATTTTTTCATCTTTATCTTCAGCAGTGATGGCGGAGACAAGTAACAAGCAAACTAGACCTGAACTGGCTTAGTTTTTGTGAATTTTTTACAAATGAAACTTCAAAACGTGATGAAGTATCATGAAAAACAGATGAATGTGATAACTTAAGCTTAGCTGTCTTACCTGATGCCTCCATCAGGATTGGAGATATTGTGCTTTCTGGTAACGTTGGAATAACAACACTTCACGCCTTTAGATGAATAAGATGGAGCTACTTCATGGTCTATGTGGAGGGTAGCAATATTGTCATTTTTAGTAACGTAGGTTAACAGGTCATGTTTTCTACAGGACTTGTATTTTTCTGGGTGGAAATATTTTTTGGCTTCTCTGCTGAATGGGTCTAGGTCGACTATCTTGCATTTTTCACTAGATATCAGGAACTTCACCTCTAAAAAGGAGTTTTTAATCCTCTAATGCTTATCTAGGTGTCGCTCTTTGGCGCGTAAGTGACAGGTTACAGCGACTGTAACCTAGCCTGAGCCTGATTCGCGAGACTAGTGACATAGCACTGATACAGAAAAGTCACTGAAATAGTAAAATGCTTAGATGTATAACTAAGCAAGCAGTGAAAAATAATAAGGGGCATAACGCACGTTATTCATAGTTATTGCTTAACGTACTTTTTTATATATGAACTGGAATATTTCACACTGAATGTGTGGCAACGGTGAATTTTTTGAGCTAATACCACTAGTCTCACGAATCGATCACAGGCTTCATTAGGGTTGCTGTGCCCTATCTTTATAGAGACACGGAACAGCACTTCAACATTAGAGGAGTATTCTTATACTTAAATTTCGGACTCCAGGTCCGCTGGATGAATTTTTGAGACTGTTAGTGAAGTGCGTTTCCTAATAGTTTTGTGCGCTTTTGAATTTCAATTGTTTTAGGTTTTTATTAATTTCATTTATTTATCTATATGATTATTTCGGGTAAGGATATAGGTACCCACTGTTATATCTCACCAAACCAGACAAAAAAGTTCATATCAACGTAGGTACGTATTTTACGGCTTCAAGTACATTTCTTCTAATATTGATATTTTTAGTTACTCTTAAATTACTTGAGTGATTTAGATAAAGCTCTGTGAATCGACAGTGGGTACTAAGGGACTATCTGTACTAGTTGTAACCATTTAAATTACCCCAAGGGAGGCGCTATCGAGTTTTAGGGACTTAAGACAAACAAAGACTCCTGCTTGCCAATCAGTCAGTAATTCAGAGTCTGTGGCTATAGAAATCGACCGAATAGAAAAAAAATGAACTGTAAGGTACTTTCTGGTTTCATAAACAAGAATAGAACTCGCAGAATGAAGTCAAGAATAGTAAATGTGCTTTAATCAAAAACTGTCGATTTTCTTGTCTACCTCATCCCCGCATGAATAAATTTAGGGTGACCTAGGAGTGTCCCATATTTCTGTTTAATTCTGGTAGCTTTATCAGTTGGCAACTTTTTCTAGTTGCAAATCCTATACTTTTTTGCAAACGACAAATTATTTTTCGGTCTGAAGCTTGCTTTGTTAAACCCCGAGAAAATTTAATAACGCCACCTCTGGGGTAATTGAGTTGTGTATAATCAAGACATATTGATACACTCAATACCTATTGTCGACTCACAGAGCTTTATCTAATTTACTCATGTAATCTGAGCGAAATGGATAATATATAAATTAAAAGGAACAAATTTTTTATATCGGTTCAACCACTAGCTGGTAAGTAGAAAATTAAGCTTTGTAAAATTAATAAAACAATTTAAAATCAAGAATGGCCAATCGATAGGTAAACCTTCTGATATATAGTATCGTAAAGAAATTCCACTAAGAATCTCAAAAATCCATTCAGTGGACCTCGGTTCCGAGGTTATTATGTTTTTAGATCCAAGTAAACTGCCTATTTTAATCTAGACACCGTCTGTAACTTGTACTCTGTATCAGAGTGCCAAATTCCGTAAGAATTAATCCGAAAGCTTACTACCAGGAACGGGTGCTTTGGGCTGGACCGTGTTGGAATGATCATTCCTAAAGATCTTCCTGAGAAATGTCTCAGAAATTACATCAGATATTGGTGGTCAATTCAACCTCGGCTACAGAAGTTAATAAGGGCTTAATATTTACCATGTAGTTCTCATCAATTACAAGCTAGACAGATTTGATGTATATTTCTTCTAAAGCCGACCGTTCAGTATCCTACATGAAAAGCATGTTTTCAAAACGACAGCATTGCACCTCTAGAGCAACAAAGAAAACAAAACACTCGCTAGCAGTTGCGGCAGAGCCGACGATGGAACGCTTCCAAGTTAACAGAATGTTGAATGCCATCCTATGATACGTAACGTATGTCCTAAAAGTTTTAGCACAAGATTCATTGGCTTTAATTTAAACAAACACAAAATAATATCAGGTTGCCTTTGAAAACAGAAGTTTGTTTACTTACTTTACTGTCAGTTGACATTGATTTACTCTGAAGTTTTCGCTTTAGGATGTATACATTAGAAATATGAAAAAGTATCTACAAGTTTTTTAGGCGGTACCCAAAGCTGGAATTTGTCGAATATTCCAGAATGAAAACATTTCACGCAGAACCATTCATCGAACAATTGCGGAGTGCGAGCAGGGAATACCATGTCTGAATCTCCCAGAAAGTGGAATACCAGGTGCGTTTACTCGACAGAGGTCAGAGAGATTGGTGGGAAGAGCAAAAAGTCAGGCAGGTTGGAATCTCAAGAAGGAGAATGGCTCGTTAATACAGATATTCTAAAAGTACGATATCGTTGGAATTGAGGAATGGTCTCAAATATCGAAAGAGCCTTAAGTGACCCAAATACTCGCAAGCGCAACTCCTTGGTATACCAAGATGCTGACAGACCTTATACAGACAATGTAGACAATGTTAGATAAAACGTAAAGCGAAATTTGCAGATAAAATCCTTGTTTGGTGCGCAGTTTCTAACAGGGGTAAATCCCAACCTTTTGTAAGAAGAGTGAGGGGTGAAGCTTTGAATAGTCAGAGCTATATTGATAACTGCCTTTCTAAATTGCTTCAGTTTGTCCACGAACATCATGCTAATAACCATATCATGTTGTGGCCAGACCAAGCATCATATCATTACTCAAGAGATACCCAACACTGGATTCGATAATACGGCATACCTCTTTATTTCCAAAAACGATAATCCTCCGCAGGCTCGTCCAATAGAGGATTTTTGGGCTTTACTAGCTAGGAAGGTTTGTCATGAAAGGTTAAAAGCCCAAGATGAAGAACAATTAAGACGGCGGGTTTACCAGAAACTGAGAGATATTCGAAAAAAGTTGCGTCTGGTAGAGCAGAATGGGCCACCCCACATAATTCGATAGTACAATTTAATTAAGTATTGAGTTGTAATTTATGAGAACTAGTTAATGTTCAAATAAATTTCTTCATTAAGAAAAAACTCCGATAAATATTTAGTGCCAAAACTTTTAGAACATACTTTATTATACTTTATATGCACGAACCCTTACGGATCTTACAGCTGTAATGGAAAAAGTTGCTGTGGTTATAGAGAAATATTGCGTTCAGTTAAGCGGAAGCTACTTTCGCGGTTCTCGAAACGTTGCAAAGCACTACTTTGCGCTCTTTATACGCATAACCATTTGAATCAAATCGACTATTGGCTTCATCGCCCTATTCCTCAAATTACCTTCACCTTAATATAGTCCATAATTCGTACATCCAAATAACACCACTACTGGTCCAGAGCCAAATCAGATTAGATTAAAAGGATTGAATTGCCGTAAACCTGTCAGACTTGCCAGACATACTAATGTCTGGTCTGGCAAGATAGCTCTTGTTCCATCTTAATGACTCAACGGCCTTGTAGATGAGAAAATGGCGTCAAATAGGGTGACTCTCCACTTGCCACGCAACGCCGTTATCAGTTCATAAAGGATTATGTTCAGCACAAACTAGACCTTCTGAGAAAATAGTCAAGTCAAACAGGTTCATACAATTAGTCCATCGACATTCATTCCCTGCCCTACCGGTAGTGCATTCGCCTCTCACCGATACTTCAGGGCTAGTGTAGAGATAAATCTATAGTCTGTGAAAGATGTCTAATAGGTGCGTATGATCGTACTAATATCAAAAAATTGACCCACCACACCCCCAAGTCTTTATACACCAAAAAGGTTTTTTTCAAAAATGATCAGGATTCTCTGAAACGACGAAAAACGAAGTTTGGGCGAATTTTACTTTTTTGCTTTAGACCTGTATCTCAACCGTCGCTGAACTGATTTTTGAAAACTACAAAGCTTTTACGTCCTTAGTAATAGAAGTAATATTTTGTAAGAGTTTCTGCAAAATCCGAGCGGTACTTCTCATGTTATAGGCGGTTATAGGATTAGCAGACAGACCGACAGACGGACTGACGTAAATTAGTGAAATGGTTTTCAGTAATGTAAATGTCATACAACATCCAAAAAACATAATCTCATTTTCGAAATATTTTGCTATTACAATACTTCCCCGCTAGTAGGGGTGGAATGTACAAATTACAGTAGGCAGTTTGGATAATTTATATTTAGTTTGATCACATATGTATGTAAAAAATTGGATAAGACAGCCCCAGGTTTCTTTAATGGAGGTAGCTGGTAGGTTTTTAGTAATGTAAATGTCATACAACATCCAAAAAACATAATCTCATTTTCGAAATATTTTGCGATTACAATACTTCCCCGCTAGTAGGGGTGGAATGTACAAATTACAGTAGGCAGTTTGGATAATTTATATTTAGTTTGATCACATATGTATGTAAAAAATTGGATAAGACAGCCCCAGGCTTCTTTATTGGAGGTAGCTTCTTTTTTATCTAATATTGCCTGAGATGATCCTGGGACCCGCCCATCTTACACTTTCTGGGTTTGAATTATTAAGCCTTAATTTAGCCCATTATGTCGTATGAGTATTGAAGTGCTGGCACTAATAACAACATAAAGCTTTGTCAGTACAGCAACCACAGGAAAAGTTTCGGATATTACCTCAGCATTGATAATCACTAAGCTCAAGTAAACTGGAGGTTGGTACGTCAGGAAAGCAAGGTAGTAAAAGCAAGAACTTTATATCTTTTTTCATGGTACAAAAGATTACCTTTGCCTTTGCGTACGATTACATGCGGTTGTGTGCTAGTGAGTGGTTTACTAGTGGTTGTGACATTCTGTGTTGCAGTTGATGCTGTGGTGGTGGTACTACTTGTGAGAGAAACTGGTTCTAAACGTGCTGCCAATTCAGTTGCTTTGTTCTTTTCTAGAAAATTATTGATAATTAAGTAATATTTTGTGAGATCCAATTTTGGTACGATTGAGAAATACTGAGAAACAATTTAACATTCTTTACTAGTTTTCTAATATATCTAGACTTGCCTCTTATTTCTTCTTCGATTATAATATTCTCTGTTGGTTGGATTCCTACGGCTTTGCATTTTAAGAAGTTGAAGTCGTTGTAGACCAGAGTGAGCATTATACAGCAAATCAGGAACAAGACAAAAATGAACTTACTTCCTATCAACGCTCCCTGGTGCATTCTTACGTCTGAAAATAATAAAATATGCCCTTTTGTGAAAAATATGCATTCTGCCTTTAGTTAAACGGAATGTTAAGCTTTTATTGAAATAATATGAAACAAAGGCCATGCAAGGTGAGAAACATTTTTCTTGTTAAAATCTCTTGCACATTTCTGGAGCGACACAATAGCAAGTGGTATTCTAAAAAAATAGATACCTAAAGAACTTGTCTACTGTCTTAAAGTGATATACTTGAGGAATGTATAAAAGCAAGGTTTCTATAGCATCTTGACCTAGGATCTTCGAACATGTAGTATGTTACTTGAAACAGATTAAGGCAATTAACAAATAGGTATAAAATACGAAATACAATCAACGAAACCTGGACATTCAGTCAATCAGTAGAGGAAAGTACCCTAATATGAGGTAGGCTCCTAATATGAGACCCCCTCGTATTTTCAAGAATGTAAGTCGCCATCTGACGGTTCCTCCAGCAAAGTCTTAGAATGAACGCAAACCTCTTTCCGCAATCCTATTTTCGAGGTTCTGTGGATCGGTTAGCTATCTGTGTCGCATTTCGTCTTCTCGTGGGTCGTGAATGTTTTAAAGTGTCACGTTGTAAGCGAGTTTTGAGTCAACTTACTACGAAGTTAGAGGTATGTTTTTCATGGATTCCATAACGCATGTCTTGTACTTTATTTTTAATTTATGGAATAGAGTAGATCGGCTTTTTTTGCTAAAAAAAGTATTTGTCTATTTTTTAAATCATGTGATCCTAATACACGATAGCATGGGGCTCCTTATATGAAATGTATCTCATATAAGGAACCCCATGCATTTTCTAAAATATTCTTGCAAAATGAAACTTGTTCAAGATATGCCTGAACAAAGTAAGAAAAGAAAGCAGTTGAGTAAAACACAACACAAATGATCAGGGTGGTGGAAGCTGTAACAGACAAAGAAATGGGATACCAAAAGGCTTCTAAACTATATGAAGTTCCAAAAGGTAAAAACGAATTTGCATTTCTAGTAATTCTAAAATTACGTTTTCTTTTTTACATTTAAGGAACACTTGAAAGGTATGTGAAAGATGGTAGAAATCCAGAAGAGCTTGTCAATGTAAAGCTAGGTCGAAAACAGGCTCTCCCTTTGGAGAAAAACTTTTGGCAAATTACTGTCTAGAAATGGAACAAAAATTCTATGGATTGAGAAGAAGAGATGCAAAGTATATGGCATATCTCAGCTAGCAATACGAAACGGGCCAGCTCATCCCTTTAGTAAAATATAAGGAAGCGCCGGAAAAAGATGGCTCAAAGGTTTATTATCCAGGCGCTCACAGTTATCTATAGGGACTCCTCAAGCTCTATCTTCAGCGAGGGCGAAAGGTTTTAATGCCGAAAGTGTCGGTGAGTTTTTCAGCATTTTCGAAAAAGAGATGGAACAAGTTAATTATTCGCCACACTGACTTTTTAGTGTAGACGTAACTGGGACAACTGTTGTGCAACATAAACAAAGAAAAATTATTGACTTAAAGGAAAAACACAAGTTTGCACAGTAACCTAGCTTGAGAGAGGAAAACTTCTGACTGTTGTGACCTGCATGAAAGCTGTTGACATTCGATCCTCCCATAATTGTGTTCCCAAGGAAAAACATGTCAGAACATTTAATGAATGGTGCACCAGCAGGATCTATTTGGGCTTGTCACCCGTCTATATGGATCCAGACAGATATTTTTTCACATTTCATAAACTTTGTCAAACCAACTAAGCACGATCCCGTTTGTTTGGTTCTTGATGGCCATTACTCCCACACGAGGAACATGGAGGTAATAGAAATAGCTAGGCAGAATCACGTTTCCATAGTTTGCCTACCCCCTCATGCAACGCATACAATGCAGCCCCTCGATGTGGGTTTTATGGCACCACTAAAAAACTATTATACACAGGAAATAGAAACCTTCCTTAGAAATAATCCTGATAAGATAGTAACAAACAACGAAATCTGTTTTCTCTTCGGAAAGACCTACAATAGAGCTGTCACAATGGAAGCATCCATTAACTCGTTTAGAAAGACTGGATCTTTCCCTTGCAATAGAAACATTTTCAAAGGCACCGATTTTACGGAAAGGCAACTAGATCAAAGCATCGAACAAGGCGAAAATGTGGAGGTAAATAATGAAAGAAATAATAACCACAGAACATCCATTCAATACCATCAACTTCTGGAACTAGCACGAGTCTGTCTCGACGTAGAATTGGATGTTGATTTCAGTGATATGGATGAAGATGACGCAAAATGCTATTTTTGCTCTGGAAAATATTCTGAGGACACAAGGGGAGAAACCTGGGCCCAATGTTTTGTTTGCTTCCGTTGGGCTCATGAAGATTGTGGCGAAACTGAAGGAAAATCCTTCACAGGTCCACTTTGTGAAGGGAAAGAAGGAAAAAGAAAACTAATTTTCGAATAAATAGTTCTTAAACAGTTTTTGTAAATTACTTGGTATATTTTCAATACTTATTATATTCCATTATGTTGATACTCTTTCAGAGTAGAATAATGTTTTATTTTACAATAAAACTTATGAAATATGAGTTTTTTTATTTGGAACCTAATATGAGACAGTCTTATATTACGAAACCCGGACGTCTCATATTAGGACCCCAAATTGTAAGTTGAAAAAAAGAATACTTTTTACTTTTCTCCATTTTTTATAAAGCCTCTTTATTTTGCTTTCTCTAAATTATACGGACGTATAACTACAGTTAACGTAGAATGTGTTCTACTAAATTTGATTATTATGACATGAAAGGTACATTAGATAATTCAAAGAATAAAAAAGGTGTCTCATATTAGGGTACCTTCCTCTACATAAAATAGTTGAAAAATTACTGATAATCGAAATAATAGCTAACATGTTTGACACATTTTCCAAGGTTACATTAAACGAACTGAAAGAAAATTTATGAATGTATATAGAATCATACGAGAACCTGTAGCTAACACAGATCCACAACACAATGTATAAAGAAACAAGGTATGCTTAATAATGCCCTCAATGGTTATTTTTTGTTTCATAGTGACTGGGAAGCGACAGCTTTCTTGAGGGTCACTCACGGGATTTTTTCAGATGAAGTAATTTTCGTGTACCTACTATCAAAGTTGTCACCTAGTTGACAGTGATTGTTGGCAAAATGCATTAATAAGGGTTTCTTGTATTTATTTAGAACAACGAAAAATCACCTGCAATTCAGAGGGTACAATAACTCAGTTCAGTTTCTGTGATGAACAACAGTTGAAAGGCCCGACATAGATTCTCAAAAGACACAGTAAGAGACAACATAGCCCCCATTAATTCATGACGAGTTAAAGAAGCCTACTGGTAGAGTATTATTAGCTCTATCAATAGAATAGTTAATTGCTGCAATCCGAAGACGAAGCTGAAGATGAAGACGACATAATGAATGATAAGTTAGATGGCGTCTATTTTCGCCGTGTGATCATAACTACAAATTTTGGAGATAATTAGATATACATTACATATTATAATAAATTTTTCGATTACACCTATGGCGTTGAAAGCTCTATTCCTTATTTTGCATTCATGCATAAAAACAAATAAGGAACAAGAAAATGTAGTACAGTAAGGATAACCATTGACTAAAATGTTAGTCAATGCTTTATCTCTATGATTAACATATCCAAGCTGCTGTAACCAAAAATATATTGATATTATCTAACAGGAAGTTACTTTAGCTTCTCCACATAAAAATGAGGTTAGGGGTTAGGTTACACAATGGTTCTCACGACAATGACAATTTCTAAGCATATTTATTCTAATAATATATCTTCTGATCTATCTTTTAGCAGTTAACAGAAGATTAACATTAGACCAGACAAAACAAGTAAACTGGGATAGGTTAACGGACCTAAATTTATCAGATCATGAAATTTCAACTGAGACATTGAATGGAACACTATTGTCTCCAGTGATGAATCCAGATTCGGCTTGCGAATTCTAGATGGGTATGCGAGGATGAGTTAACGGCGAGGCAAAAGACGAGATTCTCAATTTTCTATGGAAATGCATTGTAACGGTTTCACCGTCCGATCGTATTTATTAAATCACTTCTCGATTATCATTTCATTAATCCCATCTCTAGCTTTTTTACTTGGAAAATTTTCCGCTTGGACCGCTTGATGCGGAGTTCCTGATCTGCGATCTTCCTCGCGCTTCCTTTTCACTTCAGCCGCCGATCTAGCAAGAGCTAAAAATTTTCTTCTCTGTAGCACAAGGTCATATAGCACCATGTGCTAGAATTTTGTAGAATGTGTGTCCGTATAGGACAAAATGGTGAGTTTTATAATACTATACAGTTTTATTGCTGGGTTTGCCTGTAGTTTATAGATAGTCGATATGTAAGTGATTGATTTCTTGTACGATTTTAAAATATCCATCGAGCGTCATTTTCGACTACTTCGATCATTCGCCATAACTTTAATCAAATCGAGGTAGAAATCGATCCACATCGATTTTACCTCTGTATGCGTATATGTATTCATCATAGTTCAGTGGAATTTTGAGTAGGTTGATTATGAATATTCGATATTTGTGTTTTTATATCAGAAGCATGTGGAGGAATTTTTGATGACCACCATCTAGTTTTACGCTTTTTTTTTGCTATTTCATGATTTTATTTTATGAAAGGCATTTCCAATTTTCGGTTTCATTTTATCAAACTATGTAATGTAATTCTAACCTAGAAAATCGTTGGTTCTCTTTTGAGGCAGACTGAGATTGGAAATGCCTTGGCCATTAGGGCACGTTGCTAATGCACAGTGCACACGGTTCTTTTTCAGATTGGGGCCACCCCCTTTCTCTTTCTCTTTCTCTTTCTCTTTCCCTTTCCCTTTGCCTTAGTCTTTGACTTTGCGTTGCTTGGCCTATCACTTCACCCATGCATGTGCCTTGGCAGCGCCATCGCCTTTAAGTTCAACTTCGCCTACAACTGGTTATGAAGCC